CAGGACAGAGGAATCAAGACAAAATAAATCTTTTATATGATCAGCTTTAACCAGTCTTTGGTAAATGCCACATTTCTGCCCTGCCCAGACGAGCACAGCCTTGTTTTTTGGCTAAATATTGAAGTTAAATCTCATTTAAGTGCTATTTAGTATACTTCCTTAACATAACTGGCTGTCACATATTGAGATTGTTTGCTAGCAGTACTTAATACAACTTTTGCATATTTGCCTGTATTACCTGAAGGATTTAGAAACAGTTCTAGGGACTTCCGATCCATCCGCTGCTCTGCCAAAAGAACAAAAATGTGTCAGCTTAAAAATAAATGTCCTGGTGTTTTTTTTTTTTTTTTTTTCCTGCTGCTGTTTATTCTGTGAATTTAAGCTAAAAGCCCACCTGAATATGTCTACAGCGAGGCAAACTTCAGGTACATTCACATAACTCCCATTAAAGTCAGTAAGAACTGCACTGAGGTTTCCTATGGTAAAAGTTCATCCCAGCACTTCTCTTTCTGCCCTCCTGCCGCCAGCTTTGACCCTGTAATTACCACTGCTGATAACTCAATACAATCCTGCCAAGCTATATGATATGAACTGCAGAGTATCATTCAGTTAGCTTCAAAACACGTCATACAGGTATTTTAATAACATCTCAGGCTGGAAGCTGGTTAGTGCTGAGAAAAAAAGCATTAAATCTCAAATATAAAAGTGTCTAGGTTTTTGTGCTTTTCCATACAATGTGAAGCACAGTATGGAAAAGCACAAAAACCTAGACACTATGTGAAGCACAACAGAGACTATGGTCTTTCTTCTGAGATGAAAAAATGTGCAGGAAAATACGCAGATATGTATGTGCTTATAGAAAATGTTGACAAAGAACTGAGATTGTAAAATTTTATTTTATTAAAAGCACTTCTCATGAAAAGTCATGAGAATAGTGGTATTAGCTCTCATGTCTTGGTGAAATTAACAGGGTAATTTTTGTTCTATTGGCCTAAAAATTCTCTCTGAAATACTAATATTTTCCTTCTTTTCTCACATACACAGTACCAAGGTTATAATGGCAGAATCATTCATTCTAGGTGTCTCTGCGTTGTAGTGGGAGGTGAAATGATTATATAAGATTGCCTGGTTCTGAGCAATTGTTAATTATTTTGACAAGATTATCAAGAAACTCTAAACACTCTCACCTACTTAGGGCTGGTCAGAATTATATCTGCCTGGAGGATAAAACTACGACACATGCCTGCTGTTATCCTCTACATATGCATTTTAAAGGAGAGAGGAAAGCTTCAGAAAATAACAGAGAAATGCCACTAGTAGTAAGCAGGAAGGAAACATCAAATACTAACATGAAAGAAATGGAAACAGATGGAGGTCAAGGAAAAAAACAAAAAAAAACAAAAAAAAAATTGTTTGCCATTAAGGAAAGAAATCTCTAACCAGGAAGAACCTATTTGACTGCAAAAACATGGTGAAAACACATCTGCTCAGTTTGCCTTGCTGAAATCACACACAAAGTAAACTACACACAAAGTTAAAGAACAACTGACATGTCCTGAGAAGATCAGCACATTTTTCATGTTCAGTCTTCCATTCTGCCTCACCAAAAATCTGTATTGCAACAAGGTCTTTGCTAAACAGCTTATTTAAAAGCTTTAAAGCTTTGAGAAAAGTCCCTCTGAAGTTTCCACTGCAAAGTGAGTTTTGGTGCAGCTGCTTGATTACATCATTTGCAGGAACCACCAGCAGGAACTT